CACCCCCCAGGGGGGATGGTCACGCCGCAATCCCTTCTCCTCCATTCTCCTCTCGGGATCTTGGGCACGCACGCATACGCGCCCGGCGTGAGTTTTAAGCCACCGGGTCCGGGACACGAACCGCGGTCGACTACGTGGGAGTCCAGCGACATAGCCATTACGCTAACTGCTGGTTCCCACCTGCTGTTTGGTTTTTACCAATATTGAGTTTGAGAAATTGGCAGAAAATTCAGCTAGAAATACATAGAAAATGGAACAAAACCAGCACTCATGCTTCGGAGAATGTTCTGGAAATATGAATATGAGACTCTTTTGCCTAGTGGTAAGAGGAGCCAACTTGGGAATGGGCAAATGGTAAGAATTAAGAAAAGAACAAAAGATGGAGAAATAAAAGGAGGGGTACAGTCGTGGAAGTCGGAGGAGGCAGTGGAGTTAGCTGACAACGGAGAAGTAGAAAAAAACCAGAACCAGACGAAGGATGTTACGGAAGCCAGGGGTAACTAGGTCATGCAGAGACAAGGGAGCCATTAACCCACCATGTCACATGGGAAGGAAGGCCAGGAGAGAAGGAAGAGGCCACTGGGGGCCAGCAGGTGGTGTGGTGGCTAAAGCGCTGGACTCACACGTGGCTGACTACCGTTCGAGTCCTGGATCAGGCAGTTTGAAAATCACTTCAAGCGCATGTGCGTGCATGCTTGTGTGCCCAAAATCCTGAGAGGAGAAGGGGTTGTAGCATGGCCATCCCCCTGCTGGGTGATTTCTTACTTTCCCTCTCTCTGTCTCTCTCCAGTGAGCGCATATACCCTATGGCAAAAACCTAACAAGAAAGAAAAAGAAAAAAGAAGAAAAGAAAACGTTGAATGCTTGTTCTAAACGCAGTGGGCGACACTCACCAGTGGCCAAGTTGGGGTCTTGAGTGGTTTGTCCTTTCTCGTCCTCGTTCACCTCTAGTGTGCCGGAGCCTTCCATCGCTGAGACGGAGGGAGAGAAAGCGAGAGGATTTAGCACATGTCACACGTATGTGGCTGTAAATAGCTGCCACAGCTTGAAGTTTGTCCCTTCCAAAAGTCACGGTGCAATTCAGTACCGCCCTTGTGACAGTCTCGGGAGGTGGGACCTTGAAGTCCCGAGAGCTGCACTCGTCATGTGCTGAAGCCATCACCCCAGGGCGGCTTCCACCTCAAGGGCTGGGTTTCAGTTTGCAGGGGTGGGTTCACCCCTCGCGTTTTCTCTCTCTCTCTGCCTTCTGATGCTGGAGCAAGGCTTGCTCCAGGCACGGAGACGAACTGAGGCAATCACTGCCTATCCACCCACCACCTAGCGGCCAGCTATCGTCCCTCTGCCACGTCTCTCTCGCGTTCTCGATATCATCTGGCGATCTCATTTTCTTTTCCTCCCAAACAACTTTGGAAACCAAATGAAGTGACTTTCATACAGAAGCATCTAGATAACTTTGCAACTACTGGTTTCTTTTTTTTGAACTACTGGTTTCTTTCTTTCTTT